GAAAGACCCGAGCTAACATGGGGTTAGTTCGTTAAATTACAATAAAGCCTCGTGCAGTTTGCAGCAAGCTCTCGAATCCGCCTGGTGATTGGGGTGACCGCGAACCTGGCCTGAGACCCCGGATACTTGAGTTTTCGGGGGTCTAACAATAGTATAGAGTCTGACAAACAGGCACTCAGTTTACCTTACTGAAAAGTTCATTAATTCTCACACTTTTAAGATTCAGTGAAACAACATTCAGTAAAGCCAGTCATGGGCTGGACATAAGGAAATACTTCTACATAGAGATGCAGCGTAGAAACATGAAGGAAGGATTTCTTCGTTGATGGGTTTAAGAAAAAATGTAACAGGGCAAGAGAGATGGTGCCTCTTACTCTTGCAGAGGACCCAGATTCAGTTTCCAGTGCCCACTTCAGGCAGCTTACAACAGCATATAACTTCAGAGGGTCTGATACTCTCTTCTGGCCTCCGTAGACACCTGCACTCATGCAGTGCATATAAACTTACACAGGCGCACACACAGATGTGCACATACATGCAAATTATCCTTTTTTAAAAGAAATTGTACAGTAAAAAATTTAAAGACCCACTGAAAAGTTTTATTTAAAACTGCACTCTTTAAAACCAAAATGTCACAATGAAATAATGACAGACTACAAAGGTCCGGAATGCAAGCTGGTAAGGAACTTTATCCATTACTTTCAATAATTACTTTACAGTCTGTATTTTCTTCTTCTGAAACTCTGTTCTTTGCCTTTAGACTAAACAGTCCAAACCACAGAGCTATCTGACATAAGCAGGACTTCAAAGAAACTCTTAGCAGACTCCAGAGAGCTGGCTGGGCAAACTGAGTGCCTATTAAAATTTAAACATGTTGCTTGACTAGGTCAACCAGTCATTATCTAAATTCTGAAAAATCTATCCACCTCTAAAAATCTAAAATTTTTCTTAAGTTCATGACAATCTTACTTGGCAGCCAAATCTGACCTGAACAGGTGTGTGGCTGTTTATAGGCCTTACTGATTTTAGTTATGGCTTATACTAATTTTTACTTGACACTAGTATTTTTATTGAACATGATGGTCCATCTCCATTGAGATGCTACAGTATGTGGCATGTGTCTTTTATGATGTCTAAACCCCCAGCAATTTTGTTCTTAAATACATCTGGTAAAACAGGATTTGAGAAAGAACCATGTGCTCATATTAAGAATGAAGTGCCAATTTCCTTTCTATTTTATGTCTATTCCAGTGCAGATACTTATTCAATTGTGTCTTCTGTTTATCATCTTACAACTGTAGAGCTGTCCTCTTGAAAATGGATTTCTTCATTATGTTGTTTGCTTGGTTAGGTTTTTTTGTTACCTACTTGCTTTATGAGACAGAGCCTGTCTTTGTAGTACAAGTTGACCTTGAACTGTCAACCTTCCTGCCTCTGCGTTGGGGTGCTGCAGTTACAGACATGAATCACCATGCTTGGCTCAGCATCATGTATTGGGATGTAAATGCTCTTACTCATATGTGAGACTTTCTTTTTAAGTTGGGTTCCAGGACATGCTATACGTCTTTGAGACCCTGTGGCTCACTGAAATCAGATGAGTCACTGTCATCCTCCTATGAATCATCACCAGAACTAAGTTACAGAGCTCAGAGAGCTAACGGGAAACCGTATTCTGATGTCACATTGACAAGCCATCGACGTCTGGCTGTCTCTCTGACGAAAGGAGAATTTTTATGGATGAAGATGTTCAGGGGGGTATGTAAGCAGAAACTACTGCAAAGGGGAAAAGCCCAACACATATTTGAGTGAATTAAATAAATGTTTTGGATGCATGTGAAGAAACTGCTACTGGAAAACTTGTCAAACTAAGCAGCATTTGGGGTTTTAAAACAGAGGTTGTTCAGGCTGGCTTGAGTTTGAAGACTGTGTATTTGGAGCGATGGGGACGTTTGGGCAGCTCCCTCAAAGACTTCTGTGTTCCACCTGCATGTGACAGATGGTTGCTAAGTCTCAAACCCGGAACAAACGGCTGAGGCGCTTATTTAACATATCAAAACGGACCTGGCCACCAGTTCTTTCTCCCAGCATCCCTCAGTCCTACCTGCTACAGGGTATGGCTGGTATTCCCTGCCCTCTAATCCCGAATTCTCCAACCCAGAGGCTGGGCTGCCCCTCCCCCAGCTGCCCTTCTCTATGTAATCCAGACATTTTGGTTACTTGCTCACTTTTTACCTTTTGCCCTCCTGGCTGCTGCACCTGGTTCTCCCTTCTCCCCCACCCTCCTCGCATGGTTCAGGGTCATGTCCACTCTGGGCTCTCCCAGACGTCCCTGCCTCTGGCTATGCTCTCCCACACATCTGCAATAAACTCTCTCCTCCACCATGCCCAGGAGCACTCATGTCCTTCCTTTTTCTCTTTTTTGTTCAGCTAGCACATTCAAGGCTCTGAATTCGATCATCACTAGTGCAGAAATAAAATGAAGTTACGTGATATTCATTTTCCCAGATCTAGAATGTTAATGCAATTCTGTGGTGTTTAGTATTGTCAGCTGACAGAACCTGAAATATCCAGGAGACAAGACTTTGTCTGCTAGGAAGTTTCTACACTGAGCTATTGAGGTGGAAGAAGCTGATCTAAATGTGGGCAGCACCATTTCAAGCTGGGTTTCTGAACTAAAAGGAAGAAAGCAGACCTAGCCCCAGAATTCATTCACATTTCTCTGCTTCCTGAATACAGATTCGATGTAACCTCACACTCCTGCTGCAAGCCTTCACCTCCATGATGGACTGTGTACTAACACTAAAAAAAAAGGAAATCCTTTATCCCTTAAATTGCTTTTGTCAGGCATCTTGTCATGGCAATGAAGAAAGGAACTAGACAGAAAGCTGGTGTCACCGCTCCAGAGGGAGTGGGACCTGGGAGAATGAAGCCAAAAAATGAGGCAGACAAAAGTCTCAGGCAATAGCCAATTTATTCAGAGCATCAGACAGTTTATACTCTGGGGGTCTGAAGACTCACATGAGTGAAGTGTACACTCACAAGGACAATCCACACGTGGCAAACTGTTTTTCCAGAGAAGCATAAAAACAAATAACAATTAGCCACTTGTAATGAATAATTCGAAGTAAACTCACTCCTATCTGCTACACCTGGGAGGAGCCGGAAACACATTCCAAGAATAATTCCATGGTTTGAGGCACTAAGGTCATCAGACTCCCACAGAATTCTCCCACAACTCCATTCCTGGACCATGTCCAACAAGCTGGCACTTAGGAGTGGAGCTGTGGCTGTGGCCAACACGATCATGAGGTTCTTAGGCCGATGTACACCGTTTGTGGGAGGAATGTAGGAGAGTCCAGAGCTTTGCTCTAGCAGATCTCTAGAACCCTGTAAGCAGAACTTATTGGGGGCATTTTCATGGAATCTGGAAGAGCAGAATGCCAAGAGAAATGTGACAGTGGAGACCCAGCTCACGAGGTTTCTGAGGATGAGGACTACATCTGCCCATGTCCTGAGAACTTGAGGAACACAAACTCAAAAGCAACTGACTACTATTTTTGGTAGAAGAAATTTCAAAACAAGCTTGCATTCATGCTGTGTCATGGGTACTGTTTGCTGCTCTTGTCTGGATCTTCAGTTAGAGAGAGCAAAATCTGGAGCAAGTGTGAGCAAGTTTACAATTACAAACATGCTATGTCTGAAAGCGCCATAATTGTTACAGAGATTAGTGCACCTGGAGCTCTGCACTGGGACAGGAGGGAGGGTGCCCTGAGGGCAGAAGCGGAGGATTCCACCTTACCGATGCAAAGTTGGACTGAATGACTTTTGCATTATGAGATGCTCATGAGTCAGTGGCCACAAGGGTTGAAAAGTCATGAATACCTGGGTTTAATTCTTAGCATTCATGTAAGGACTTAAAAATTCTTTTTTTTTTTTTTTTTTTTTTTTTCAAGACAGGATTTGACAAAGGAAAACCCTGTTCCAAAAAACAAAAAAAAAAAAAAAAAAAAAAAAAGTCATGACATAAAAGTTATATGCTTGGGGGCTGGAGAGATGGTTCAGTGGTTGAAAGCACTGGCTGTCCAATTCCAAGCACCCACATGGCAGCTCATACCTGTCTGTAACTCTGACACCCTCATACAGATACACATGTAGGCAAAACACAAATGCACATAAATAAAAAAAAATTAAGAAGTTATATGTTTGGTTGTCAAGTTGACAAGGGATAAACTTGTGATGGTTAATATTGTCAACTTGAAAGAGACAAGCTCTGGACATGTCAGGGATTTTCTAGCCTGAGTTAAGAATAATTAGGGAAACACACCTGAAATATGGCAGCACCATTCCATGGGCTGAGGGCCCAGACTGAATAAAAGGAAGAAAGGAAGCTGAGACAGCATTCATGTCTCTGCTTCCTGGTTGAGAATGTCATGTGACCAGCTGCCTCACACTCCTACTGCATGTCTTCCCCACCACAGATGGACTGTATCCCTTCAAAATAATAATTTTAATACTAGTTAAGTAATTTTTATTATTTATATAATTATGTGAATTAAATTAGTATATTTATATTATATAAATAGAAATTAAATAAATTATACAAATAAAAATTTAAAAAACAAACAATAAAAATAAAAACAAAATAATCCAAAAAAAAAAAAATACAACCTGAAATAAGCCTTTCTTCCCTAGGTTGTCTCCCTTCAGGTATTTCATCGAAGCAAAGAGAAAAGTAGTTAATACAAATTCCAATCAAACTTACAACTCTTGGGTTCCACCGTGGAGCTCTGGCTGTCCTGGAACTCATTATATAGACCAGGCTGGCCTCGAACTCACAGAGATCCACCTGCCTCCTGAGTGCTGCTTCCCAGGTGAAGTGCTGCCACTGGCAAGTTCTTCAGACTGTTACCCAGGGAGTCACACCACTGAAACTTTAAAAAATAAAGGTAGATTAAACAGGGCCAGTGAGGTTTTTTGTTTGGGCTTTTTTTTTTTTTTTTTTTTTTTTTTTTGAGACAAGGTTTCTCTGTGTAGCCCTGTCCGTCCATCCTAGAACTTGCTCTGTAGACGAGGCTGGCCTCGAACTCAGAGATCTGCCTTCCTCTGCCTCCTGAGTGCTGGGGTTAAAAGCATGTGCCACCACCTTCTGGCTAAGGCAGCATTTTCAGTCAGTAGATAAGACTGAATATCCATTAAATAAATGGCATGTATGCTAGATTCTTCCCTTTTTCTTTCTTTTTGTTTTTGTTTTGGCAATACTGAGCACCATATCTGGGGGCTCAAAGATTCTAGGCAATGTGCTTCATCATAGAACTACATCTTTAGTCCCTTTTTGCTCCTTTTAATTTTTTTATTGTTGTTTTGTTTTTCAAGACAGGGTTTCTCTGTGTAGCTTTGGAACCTGTCCTAGAACTGGCTCTGTACACCAGGCTGGCCTTGGACTCACGGAGATCCTCCTTCCTCTGCTGGGATTAAAGGTCTGTGAGGCCGCCACCAGCCAGCTAATCTTGCTCCTTTTAAGTATACTTCAAATGGAGTAAATTGTATGCGTGCACAACTATATTAAAACCCCTGCAACTGTACAAGGAGATGTAGCAAGTTAAGCAGGAAGATAAGGTGGAGACAGAAGGCTGATAGCTATGTCTACACAAAAGTTAATACCCTCCTTCACAAACTAAACCTTATTGACTATCTTAAAAGATAAATTTTATAACCAAGCATTTTTTGCAATATTTAAATAAAACTAAATGTTGCTAGCATACAAAAGCACTGTAGATTTTAAAAATGTGAATATCTCAAATTTAAAATAAACAGAAATTATAAGCCAACAAATCACAAAGAACCAGTAAATATATGGAAAGCATTCAGTTTTATACTTAGCTAACAAAATATTAATTTATACAAGAGCCTTTTAAAAGACTGATTAGTAATGGAATGAGGTACACACTCTCACACAGCATTCTAATTGGGAAAATGCACTTTAATAAAAACACTTCTAGGGAGACATTTAACATTCAGAATCTTACAGATGTGAGTTCCCTTGCTCTAGCAACCTATTACTGCTTGTAGAAGTGAAAAACTGCAAATACCCTTAAAAGTCCACTAACAAAGGATTCTTTAAACAATTAAAATAGACAAAACAACCATTTAAAATGTTTGTAAGACCTGGAGAAACATGCACCAAATGCCTCTTTGTGTATATCCGAAAAGTCTGCATTTACATAGATAGCAGTGTGGCAATGCTTTTTCTCATGGGTTCAGTTTGTTGCCCCACCCAAGTGAACAGGTCCACCCTAGGTAGCCCAGGCTAAACCTGATCCTACCTCAGCCTCCCAAATGTACGGACTACTCCGCTCCATTGTTCCGCCTCCCTTCCCTCCGTGGTTTTTGAGACAACAGTCTCACTACGTAGCCCAGGCTGGATTTAGAATTCACTGCAATCCTCCTGCCTCAACCACGCCAGACTTTTTTTTTTTAATCGCTTAGCTATTTTTGATATAATTGTGTACTGTTGGGATGCTGCTTGCATAACAAACCGGATTTTATTTATTTATTTTTTAATGCAGTACTCTTAGGACGAGGCGACGGGAAGAACTAATAGCCTGCGGAGGAAGAAGCGTTGCCTGAGCCATTCCGGTGCAGGAAAGGCGGAGGGCTCCGAGCCTCGCCACCGGAAACACGCCCCCATGCCGGGGGATCGTGGGCCGCGAGCAGACGGAGGCCGTGAGCGCCGAGGGAGGGCCGGTTAGCCTTCCGGGGAAGAGCGACCCCGCTTCCCGCTCGCAGGAGCGCGGCCCGCGCCGTGTTTGCGCGGAGATGTGTGAGAAGAACGTGGGGATACACGGGGAACAGCCCTCCCGCTCGGGCGTGCCGGGCGGGCGGCGCGCGCGCGCGCGTGCCCAGGCCAACGAGGCGGACTGCGGGCCTAGAGCGGCCTCTTTAGCGGACTGTGCGCGTGCGCAGACGCGGTCCGGGCCGACGCGCTCTTCGCCCGGTCGGGGACAGTTGCGTGTCCCACGGCTGAATTGTGGGGGTGGGGGGGAGTGACTGGTGTGACGTCACTGGGCGCATCCGGGCCCTCGCTCTGATAGGCCCCGGGGGCCAGGGAGGCGAGGTCCAGTCCTGCAGAAGGCTCGGGTTAGCCCTTGAGGAAGGGCCAGGGGCTCCCCAGCCAGACCCCTCTTTTCCCAGCAGTCACTCTGCTGGAAAACCAAATAGGGCCCAGTCAAGCTCTGTTTGGGATGAAGGTTGATAACCAGTTCTGGAATGGTTACTGTTTGGACCCTGAGGCTTTAGTCGGACGTTTGAGTAGAAGTACTGGTAGAATTACTTTTGAGTTAGGACTTACTATGTAACCCACGTTGGCCAGGGACTGGGCCTGCTATCAACTCCAGTTTCTTGAGTGCAGAATTACTGTCCGGCTGAAGTGAGATAGGGAGGCTTGGTTTATGAATGTAGAATGTAGGCATTGTCTGTGCCTTGTGGTGTTAGGTGTTAGCTCAGTGACAGAGCTGTCTATAGCCATGTTAAAAACCCAGTGTTCAATCCCCAACAGGAAAAAAAAAAATGAAGTAAAGCAATATAAATGTATTGTTTTCATTGACTAAGAAACTTCGTAGGGATTAATTGGTAAGTTGACGTAAAACTAAATTGTTTATAATTTCAGACACCAGACAAGAATCACAAAGTTTGGGGAGAATAAAACTTCAGAAGGCCTGGAAGCCACATAAGACTTGAGGTCAGACATTTCCAAACCAACTAGTTAAAGAATGAACGAAGGAAAACAAAATCAAGAGGATGCTCATTTGTGAAATGCTTATGTCCTTGTCTGGTTACATAAATTACGTAACCGATAGAAACATAGTGCTTAAATTATGTTTACCTATTTAGCCATAATGAGGACTTTAAGATCTCTTATGTGTAGACATCAGAACCTTTAACTGCATCATTCTTTAGTTTTTTAATGAGAAATTACAGAAAACGAGTCCTGTCAGCTAATGTGTATTTTAAGCACCAGCCTTTAAATTTCAGGTTTTGCCAGGTGGAGAGATGGCTCAGTGGTTAGGACTGCTTCCTCTTACAGAGGACCAGTTTGGTTACTGGCACTCACAAATGGCAGCTCAAAACCACAGTTACACTAGTTCCAGGGCAGTCACACTCATGTGTTCAAACACACATACACATTTTTTTGAGATTATGAGGGTTACTTTCCTAAAATTGTTAAAAAACAAACAAACAAACAATAATGGTGTATTTACTTATAAAGAGGGTGGGTGAAATTGCCTAGTGGGAAAAGGCCTTGCTGCTGAGCTTCACACCTGAGTTCAATCCCCAGGTTCCATGTGGTGGAGTGAGAGAAGCAACTCAAGAAGCTTGTCCTCTGCCATCCACCCCCTCATACACATAGTGAATAAAAAGTAACAGGAAAAAATACAGAAATATAAGAAAGTACTTGTTAAGCAGCAATCATGAATCCCTCTGTCCAGAGTTAGCATCTATTAATATCTTAGTGTTATCCGGTTTTTTATCGTATTTTTATTAATATTGAATCAGTAAAAGGCATATTTGACAGAGGAACGGAAGCCAACCTGTTTGGAGGTTAGGATTATGAGGGCCTCACTTGATTATCAATTGGATTATCATCAAACAAGCATTTGTTGCTTTTTGGAAAAAACAAATCCAAGCCCTAAAACCAAAATTTTTTTTTCAATCAGGAAAACCAAAGATACTGAAAAGAAAGGAATATATTATGAACATTTTTCATGTTAGTCTATAGTTATACCATTGATTTTAAAGTAGTTCTTTAGCATTCATTTCTATGCACATATGTGTGTGTGCATCAGAGAACAACTTTTAGGAGTTGATTCTGTCCTTCCACTGTGCAGATTCTGGATCCTGGACTTGGGTCACTTGTCAGGCTTGATGGCAAATGCCTGGCCTGCTGAGCCATTTCACCAGCCAAAATTCATAATTTAAAAACGAATACACTTCAAAGGAGATTTTGGTTCAGCTTGAGACATTAAACAGGGGTTTGTTTCCTGTGAAAGCTATCTGAACTGAGAAAATACAAATGTCCTCAAGCCCCAAGAGAGGGAGAAAGAGACATCGGTGGATGAGAGATGTTAAAGTAGTCTTGCTAGAAGAAAGAAAGGGAATCAAAGCAGAGGGCAAGAGTGTAGATGGATTTTTCTTTGGGCTGCCAGCTCACAAATAACAACACGGAGACTTATTAATTATGAAAGTTCAACTTTAGCTGAGGCTTGTCACAATAGCTCTTATAACTTAAATTAACCCATATTTTTAAATCTATGTTCTGTAGTGAACATATCTCTCTTTATTGCCCATGCTGCTTCCTCATTGTCTGGCTGGCGACTCCATCTTCTTCCTAGACTTTTCTCTCTGCCCATAAGTTCCACCTGTACTTCCTGCCTCGCTATTGGCCATACAGCTCGTTATTACGCCATTCACAGCAACACATCCTCACAGTGTACAGATATCCCATAACACAAGGGGTTGTCAGAAGTATTTAGGCTGAGTATGGTGGAATTGGCCTGTGCAACCAAGCTACTCTGGAGGTTGAGGCAAAAGGATGATGAATTCAAGTCCAGTTGGACAACTTAGATCCTGTGTAAAAATAGAGTCAGCGGCCCATTGATGGAGTTCATTAGCAGAGCACTTATCTATTATGTGCAAGGCCATGTATTAATTTCCCAGCACATCAGAGAAGAGTGAGGATAGCAGTTTATACTTTACAACCCCAGAAATGCTCATAAATTGGAGGAACCACATCAGGGGAAGGGTATGGAAGGGAAGACCAGGGGTTTAATTGAAAGTCTGTACTTTGAGACTTAGATTTCTGGTTTCAATCACCCCCAGTTCTGTGAGAAAGAAGATACATTTGGTGGGGAAGTTAAATTAGAGCGCCTGGGTTTTAAAACAAAAACTGATCAAATAGAAGTCTGTGTGCTGGCTGGTGAGGCTAACCCTTTTCCTATTGACTACTCTTAGGAGCACTCAGTAACCACCCAGAACAGCCAGAGAAGAATCCACACCTCAAGGTGCCATTTTCAAGTGTTTGGCAACATGACCTGGTCCCTGCATTGATCCATTTTGCACTATCTTTAAGTGGTAAACTTAAGTAGTAAACCAGATAGCTCATGCAGCCCCCTACATAGGCCTCACAGCTTTCTGTAGGCCCTGCCTTTGGAAAATTAGATGAAACCTCCTTCTCCCTGGGCTCAGGAGTGACATCTTAGAAATTACTAAATTGCTTTCAGAGTCACTCTTTCCTTTTCTCTGCTGCATGTAGTGGGATCCTCTCATCTGGCTGGTGAGACCAGTCGGATTCACTCTGTGTGGTTTCATGTCCCATGCCCAACTCAGTCTGAAATGTTAGATTGAAAGTTCCAGAAATAAATGATTGGTAAGTTGTAAATTATGCACCATTCTGCATAGCATGGCAGAATCTCGTGCCTTCTGCCCCATCCTTCACAAGCTGTGAATCATCCCTTAATCCAGCACATCTACGGAGCAGATGCTGTTTTCCCTTAGTTAGCCATGTTACTCAACCAGGCCATTTGCCTACCTCCCAGTCTTCCAATTACTCAATTTACAATGTTTGCCATCTTACTTTTTTTTTTTTTTTTTTTTAGACAAGGACTCACTAAGTAGCCCAGGGTAACCTAGAACTTTCAATCTGCTTGCTTCTATCTCCTGAGTGCTGGAATGACAGGCATGTGTGATATGCTTTCATACCTGACTTTAAGCAAGTCACCAAAAGAGTGCAATGAGGGCTTCTTCAGGTTTGCCCCAGTCTTGTTTCTGTCTGGGTTATCACATCAGCTGTTAAGGCATCATAGTGCTTGTATTTAAGAAGTACTTAACAGAGGCCCCAGTGTTCATGAGTAGTAATTCTGACAATTTGAATACACCAAAGAGAAGCCATGACGTGCTTCCTTGAAGGGATAAGGTAAAAACCTGTGGCTTTGTAAGGACAGAAAAACACTGTGCCAAAGTTACTAAAGTACAGACCTTTTATCTGAAATTATAAAGGCTAGTCATGGTGGGCCATGCAGAGCATCGAACTACTTGGGAAGTGGAGGCAGGAGGATTGAGAATTCAAGGTCATCCTTCCCTACATAGGAAGTTCTAGCTGGGGCTGCGTTAGGCCCTGTCTTGGAAAAATAAACAGAAGGAAATAGAATTTTGTGGTAGTTTCACTGTCTCCTTGAACTACAAAGTGATTGCCACAGTTCATGACAAGTGCTTAGTCATTCACCTCATTTGATCTTGTCTTAATGGTGTTATATCACTTCATATCACAAGGTGGGTGAGTGCAATGCAGGCAATTATTTTAGAGAGACCAGCATGGCCATACCATCCTGAATGCACCCCCCCCCATATACATCTTGTCTGATCTCAGAAGTTAAGCAGGCCCTGGGCCTGGTTAGCACTTGGACAAGAGAGGTCATGATCACATACCTTTTGCCGGGTTGTATAGAGTTGAACTTGCCTTATTTTATTATTATTAATCTTACACTGCCTACTGTATGCCCTTATCATAGGCATGTCTGATAGGGAAAACATAGTACTTGCTGGTCTGGTACTCAGGCATCAGTGAGGGGGGTCCTGAACAGATCCCTGCCCCTAGACAGGTGGAGACTACCAAGTGTGCCAGCATGGAGACTTGTCCAGGTTGTCCCCAGCAGTGATGCTGTCAGTATGAGTCAGTAAGAGAGGTAAGGCCACTGCCTAAGTTCCAGGAATCAAAGCACTGCCATGTCTCATGGAGAAAAAGTCACAGGAGCCATATCTAAAGCCAGATTGTTTGGGTAATCCTTCACTTACAAAATTAGGAAACACTAGTATCATTCCACCTTTAGCACAGGTCAGCTATTCTGGTCCTCAGTTGTCTTTGGAGCCTTTTCCC